TGGTTCAGGCGACTTCGGTTTCAGGAAAGGGTTGTTCGACTGCAGCTGCACCGGTGTTTGTCCCGTGTACTCCCTGTCAGATCGCCATTCCGCAGCACCTCTCTCTTGAGCACCAGGAGAGGAGGTAGACGGAACTTGGTCTGATGCGTTTCCGTTCACCATCCCCATACCGTGCGAAGGACTACTAGCTATCTGTTGAGGAGATCCAATCGAGCCCTGGTGATCCAAACCGAACCGCGTAGTGAGCTCGTCCGCCCACGGATTCGACCCGTCCCCGGCCGAATTCCGGATTGGCGACCTCTGCGCCTGTTCCAACGGCATGAGGTCAAAAGCTGGTGAGGTATTGAGGTCGGGAGAAAAAACGGATTCCTGAGACACAACGCGATGAGGTTGGGGAGAGCTTTGGGCCCGTCGCGGGCGTGTCAGGCGTTTTGGCGACGAGGATGAGAGAGACTTGGAAGTCGGGGAGAGTTTGGAGTTGGTGAAACGGGACCCTGTACGGTCATTCCCTTGAGGAAGGCTGTTGAGGCGTGGCGGAGCTCGTTTTCGCAAGACCATGAGGCGGACTCTTAGTGTACGAGGCCCGGGGTTACCGAGCTCACGGGGGAATCACAAGATGGTTGGACAAGCTTGGGGGCCAATAAAGTGCGGTCAAAGAGCCAGTCAGAAGAGTTAGATCGACAGGCTTCCTCTGATGACAGGTGAGATTGCCTAGTTTGACAGTCTGACGCACGAATGGGCGCCAGAGTGCCGCAGACGTGGTTGGGGAGCTCTCGGGGATGTATACGTAACCAGGCAGTGGCTCCGGAAAAGACGAGGAGATCAAGATTAGCCAGTATACGCGAGAAGGAAAGCAGCAGCCACAGCCATGCCTTTTGCAGGGAATAAACGGTCGATCCTAGGCAACAAAAAGAAGATGAAAAGTGAAAATTGAGGGAGGAAAGGCACGCGAAGTCAACAACAATGGCGGGAATGACCGTCGAGGGTCACAGGCACCCGGATTCCCTGACGGAATGAATGGATGGATTGCGATCAATGCTCGGGATTGGCGGTGGACCCCTGCCTGTTCTCCTGTTACCGCTGTTACCGCTATATGGTGCGGGGATTCGCAATGTGGCTGCCTGCGATTATTGTATGGTATGGTTACGCCCCGCCGGCACCGCCACACTCTCCGCGTATTATGCACCGCCACTTATAGATGACGTATAGTCACGGGACTGAGGAGGAACGATGATCCGCTGCTATACTCATTACATAAGCCGTGCATTATCGCAGTGGTGGAGGGTCCGTGCGCTATCGCAGAAAAAAAGTAACGGAATTCAATTGCAAATAGAAGCTGCGACTTTGGTGGGGTTATTGGCTCAGGTCGCTTGAATTGACCTCTTCTTCTTTGCATAGAATGCGCTGATCCTTATTCCACTACATATCACTTGGAGCACCCCGGCATCATGCATTCCTACGTGCGACCAAATCAATTTATCGCCTTCAAGCTCCCCTCCGAGGCGACGAGGATCCAGAAGGTCGTTCCCAATACGTATGCGCGCGACTTGCCAGCCCCTAAATAATTGCACAGTGCTAAGTACGTTGGATAGGCAAATCTCTCTAGGAAAATACGGTGCTTTTCCCGCCAACCAAATCATTGGCCGTCCCTTCTACCTGACGTTCGAGATCCACGAGACCCCCGGACAAGCTGATAGCACCTACCTTCGCATCGTATCGGCGGCAGAGCTTCACGCGGAATCTCTCATTACTGAGGGCGAAGGCGACGGCGATGATGTAGAAGTCAATGAAGATGGCACGCCGGTGCGGTCGAACCGCGAAACCATCGACGACCGATCAACGCAAAAGTTAACGCTAGAGGAGATTCTGGCGCTGAAGAAGGAAAGCACCGGAGCGGGCAGGGAAATCATCGCGAAGCTGCTTGAGTCGCATCAGGCCTTGGATCAGAAGACGGCATTCTCATTGGCCAAGTATAAGCTGCGCAAGGAGAAGAAGTACATGAAGCGGTTCACGGTGATTCCTCTGGATGTCAGTCTCCTGACGAACTACATGCTTGAGGACAAGGATGCAGCGCGGACTATGGAACTGCGTGACGAACTGATCGGCCTTATTGGGTGTTGGGGAAATGTGCATCACGGTGGTAGCACCTCTTTTGACGAGACTGTCACCTCAAAACCGAATGGTCGCTATCTCGTTGTCGATGATACGGGCGGTCTGGTCGTCGCAGCTTTGGCTGAAAGAATGGGAATCTTGTACCCTCACGATGGCGAGAACGACCAAGAACAACAGGATGCTATTGAGCGGCCTGACGCGGTGGAAGCTGATGAGGCAGAGAAACCCGAAGACGGCGAAGACAAAGCCCAAGAGGGAGAGGAGCAAACCACGACGACCACCACACATCGCCCACCCCGTCGACCACAGATGTCCGCTTCAGGAAATACCATCACCCTTCTCCACGCCAACAAACAGCCCAACCTAAGTCTTCTGAAATACTTCGGCTACGAACAAGATAGTCCGAGCGACACACATCCCCTCTACACAAACCTCAAGACCGTCTCCTTCATGCAGCTGCTCGACCCTAACGCGGACAACATCTACTCCGAGGAACCGTCGGTAGTACCCGAAGAGGAGCTTGCCGCGTACAAGGCCAGCAAGCGTAGCGCCTACCACCGCAAGCGCGGGCGGTGGATGCGCGTTCGCAGGGTAGTCGACGAAGCCCGGGCCGGCGGTTTTGACGGCCTCATTATTGCTTCCCTCATGAGCCCGACGAGTATCCTGAAGTACACTGTCCCATTGGTGGGAGGCTCAGCACCGATCACTATCTACTCGCCTACCATTGAACCGTTGACAGAGGTGATGGACTTGTACTCGACAGCGCGCAAGAACGCCTACATCGCCCGGAAGCGTGAGCTACAAGAACAGCAACAGGCCGACGGCCAGGATGAGTCTGGCAAGATGCACCCCGCACTGGAGGAGGAATACACAGTCGACCCTACCATGCTGCTTGCACCGACGCTGCAAACCTCCCGAGTACGCGTCTGGCAGGTCCTGCCTGGACGGACACATCCGTTGATGTCGGGACGTGGTGGTGCAGAAGGGTACATCTTCCACGGCATCCGGGTCATCCCGACGCAGCAGATCATTGAGGCGGCCGGAAATTCAGGCCGGAAGAGGAGAAAGGTGACCAAGGAGACGGAGACACCGACTGAGACGCAGACGGGCAGCGGGGATGTGGAGATGACGTCGTGACCTATCCTAGATTCAATTGCCCTACCTGTAACATAGCCCCGAAAATTGGCTTCAAAAGTATACCATGTGCACACTATACAACATGAGATAATGAATCCAGAAACGATGAGGAAGACATCCATCCGACAGCTCAACCGACTGTCTGGTATACTAAATATCCGACATCATGGCATTATAATCTTCTTTCGTAGAGATCTATTTCCCCATCAACTCACACCCATTCCTCACAACACCCACCAACCCACCAGTCTGCATCGTCTCCGACCCACCCCCAGCCAACCGCCACTCAATCTCCGCCAACCCTTCCAACCAGGTAACTCTCGTCTGCGCAGGCACTTCCAACCTCTGCAACTGATCGCCCAGCGCCGCGAGAATATCCGCCAACGCCAAGCCCTTATTCGCCTTGAGGGTATTAATGGTACTCAAACAGGACGTAACATCACTCGTAGCCAACAACGTCGTCATAATCTCCTCAATATCAGACGGATGAGGCGCCGCAATACAATCATAAATCGTCTCATTCGTGATAACCTCAGCCTCGGGCCTCCCCTTCGCATCCTGATCCTGATCCTGATCCTTGGGCGCATTCTTCATCGGCAACGGTTTACTACTGGCAAAACAAGCCTGCAGGACATTCAACGCCCGTCGCATATCACCCTTACTCAAGCGAACAAGACTATCCACCGCCTCCGGCTGAATATTCACCTCTTCCTTCTCAATCACAAGGTCCACTAATACACGGATATCCGCCTCCTTCAACGGACTGAAGCGAAACCGCGTACATCGGGACAAGAGCGCGGGGGAGAGCTTGTGTGTGTAGTTGGCGATGATGCAGAATCGCGTGTTGGCGGTGTATTTTTCCATGATGCGGCGGAGGGCCATTTGCGCGGTGGCCGTCATGGCGTCGGCTTCGTCGAGGATGATGAGTTTGTAGGAGGCGAGGTTGGAGGAGGTGGCGGTGGAGATGGAGGATGAAGGTGCCATAGAGAAGATCTGTTTTGTGCTGGCGAAGGTCTTGATTTGTTCGCGGACGACGTCGATGCCGCGGTCGTCACTGGCGTTGAGTTCCAGGACCATTTGGCGCATGTTCTTTGCGCCGTAGATCCGGCGCGCGAGGGCTAGGATGGTGGATGTTTTGCCGGTTCCGGGGGGACCGTAGAGAAGGAGGTGGGGGAGGCGCTGTTAGGGTGTTAGACTTGTGAGATTAGGGATATCATTGAAGAAAAATGACTTGGGGATGGGGGTGTGTACGTTTGCTTCGACGAATTTGTTGATAGTTGCAAGAATGTCTTGGTGGCCGGACACATCTTCTAGGGTGTTGGGACGGTATTTCTCTACCCTATAGTCTTCCGTTAGATATTATCATACTGCCTATACAAAGAGAGGGAATATACCAAGGGAGGTTATCTTGAGCTTCAACGGGCAAATCAGCTGCTACTCGTTTTGCCTTGCCATTTGTGTTGTCGGAGCTGAATTGGATAGCGTTCTTGGATGGGACGTCCACGTCCATTGAATCTTCGTAGTCGGACATGGTGTGCAATTCAAAGTAGCGATGCACTCAATTCCCGAATACTAATGCAGAGCTCAAATTATATCACAAGAACGGAGAGTCAAGTGAAATTGTAGCTATCCGGAAATCACGAGAGACGCGTAGCGCGTAAAGAGGCTCGGGCCGGAAAATCTCCCCGCCCAGGACGAGGACAGCGGCAGCTCTTGGACTGGCACGGGTGATGACATGCACCTCCGTCCCTCTCCCTATTGTATCTACCTACTTTCCCTTCCTTAGACCGGCTCTAAGGACCACCACCACCACCCCCATTATATTTCCCTGCACCTCACAATGCCGGTACTATTACTTTTCCTCCACCCATTCCGAGATATACCCCCCAGATAAATCGACTAATCCAAAACCAGGCATACCACTCCATCTTCCTCGAGGATCGGGATGTCCCCGTAATAGGTACGGCCGCACTCACCTCCCCGCCATATACCCACCTAGCTATAACCCCCCAATACAGCGACAGCTACCTACACCATCCACTACAATCCACCAATCTCTCATCAATCCAACTAACCACCCATTGACAGGAAACTTCCCAATCCTCCCCCTCCGCACTCGCACTCGCGGCCCCGCATACACCCTCCCCCCGCTCCCGCCCACCGCCGACACCACCGATGTGCCCGCCGACAGCGAATCCTACGACTGCGTCGACGAGATTCTCTCCCTCTTCCGAGCCAATGTCCTGTTCCGTAACTTCGAGATCAATGGGCCCGCCGATCGCATGCTTATCTATGGTACCTTGTTCATCAGTGAATGCTTGGGGAAGGTGAAGCCCGGTATGGTGATGCGCGAGGCTGAGAAGGTATGCTTTGCTTGCCGCTGTAATGCTGGGTTGTTGGGGATTGGTGGTGGTGGTGATAAATGATGTGATGTGAAGTGCTAATGGGTATCATTTGCAGGCATTGATCAACGTTGCGCTCGACCACTTCGCTATTCCCGGTGACGTGTCCTTCCCTCTGAACCAGGCATTTGAGGCGCCCCGCGATCGCCAGGATGCGGAGACATTGAGACAGTATGTTACATTTCTTCCAGCCCATTTCGACCGGGGCCGTTGAGTTGGACAGTGCTGATTGGTTTGTAATAGGTACCTCTCTCAAGTTAGGCAGGAGATTGCGATGCGGTTGCATGCTAGGTTATACCCCGGTGGTGTTGGGCCTTCCAAGGTATGTGTCCATACCCTGCAATAAATGGAGGGGTCTAGGCTAACAAAGTATAGTGGTGGCTGAGCTTCGCCAAGAGAAAGTTCATGGGAAAGAGCTTTTAAGGCGAATGACTGATAGATAGATGGATGTGCTTTTGTTTTTTTGCTGCCACAACTCAGCGTATGAACAAACTCTAAACCGGACTGTTAGCTGTTGTCCATGTCTAGTCATTTTTACTCTGTGTATATTTGAATCTGAAGCGTTTTGATCCGACTCTCGCTGCTTGGTTGGTGTCGTTCCTGATGTCGTTGGTGACGGTGCACTTGCTCATCAGTATGACTGCCTAAGAGAAGCAGACGTAGAGTCTTGTTGCTGGCAAGGGAGCCACGGGGGCCCCATTCGACCGGAGCCAGTTGATCCATGATCACAATATCTGGGGTCCTGTCCTGTTCAACCGGAGCCAAAAATCCTAGAACTGGCTTCCGTATTACGGCTCCAGTCGAACAATATCCCTTCCGTTCTCTTGCAGACGACCTACCCAAACCCCATCGCTATACAACCACGCCATTTTACCACCCAAAACACCAGCACCAGCAACCAATAACCCCCAACCACCACACCCGCGCACTCCCGCCCCAAACACAATCGTGACTCTCAACCCCCTACTCATCCTACGAACTCTCATACACCAGCTATGCTATATCAGGAGGACAGACCCACCAGTCCATTTAAGAACACATTGAGTACCAAAGGGGCGAAGATGAGAGCGAAGTCTATTCCATGTGGATACACTGGCTGCTCTTCACGAGGACCTTTTATCTCTGACTAGTGTATTGGTGCCGGAGTAGTCTCTTCAAGCATCTCAGTCAAGACAAACTCTTCTGGTATCGTAGCCATGACGTATAGTGACACTGAATCTCAACAAGCATTTCAGCCGCAACTTAGGATTCTTACAAACGTATAGATCAGACAAATAGCAATAGGATAAGTTGTTGTAGAAGGAGAGCAAGAGGCTCTTTCGTATGTTTGATACTACTAGGCGGAATTTGGTCGAAGGCATATATTTGTCAGATGCATATTTGCTTACCATAGTAATATTATGTCATGCGGAGGAGGGGCTGCCCAGAGGGTAATAAGGGTGGATATATTTGTGAATGATCATTCTGTTTAAAGCTCAGAGATATGAATGTAAGTAAACGGAGGAGGTCGGGAAAAATTATGAGGCTCTAAGACTAGATAGTAGTGAATATTAATAGCCCCCCTGGAACGGGGCAGACACCAACCCGGGCTGACAAGTGGTCATGTATCTATTTATCATTAAGCGAATGAGGTACCCTAAATCAGAAAACTCGCCCACCGCAAGCCCATAGTTTAATCATCCCTCATTGTCGCAGCGCTAGTAATCATGCTTTTACAATGAGTAGCTTCAATAAGAATATGCATCCGTCACGAATGTAGGCATGTAAGGCAGAATACTGGGCTATGCAGCTTCATTATCACCACCCTTCTCGAACAACTCCTCAATACTTTCCAAACTCTTCCCCTTCGTCTCCGGCATCAGCACACACACCGCCACCGCCACAAGCGTCGAGAACCCATACAAGAAGTATGGTCCTGACGAAGACCGATGCAGGAACAACGGAGCAGTAAGAGTGACGATAAAGTTAACAATCCAGTTAGCCAGAAGCTCTACCGCACATACCTTTGCCCGAAGTCGAGTGGGAATGATCTCTGAGGCGTAGATCTTGCCGACCTAAAGAGAACCACATCAGCAAACCAGTCTGTGCAACTCGAAGAAGAGTACTCACCACAGCCCACGACCAGGAAAAGTTTGCCACAATGATAAATATTAGCACCACCACGGCCCATTGAGCAGAGTGAGATTCGAGGGTGACAGCATCGTGGGTTGTGTGACCGTAACGGGCGTACAGTGCTCCAATAATGATGAAACAGATGGACATCGCTGATCCCCCGGTGATCAAGGGCTTGCGGCGCCCCCATCGGTCTACCCAGATCTGGGCGGGGATGGTGAAGACCAACATCACAATACCGATGATGCCAGATGACAGGAAGGAGGCCTTGGTAGACGTGAAACCCGCTTGTTGAAAGAGGATAGGTGCATAGTATAGGACAACGTCGATCTGCAGTGAGTTAGTCCAGTGATCAGGAGGCCTGGTCGAGAACCATGAGGGCATTGGGAGCGAAGTGGAACGAAGCTGAACTTACCCCTGTCAATTGCTGAAAAGTCATGAGAAACACGCCAAGGGATGTACGACTAATGTACTTCCGACCAAAGATCTCCGCCATACTAGCGGTCGGTCGCCGCTGGTCAGACTGCAGACTGTCCTGAATCTCCCGTAGCTCGTCGTCCACCGTAGATTCAGGACGCAGTTTACGCAAAACTTGACGTGCATCTTCGTTGCGGCCGACCTGCACCAGCCACCGAGGCGAGAATGGAAGCAGAAGCATCACAACCGACAGCACGGCGGCCATGATGGCCTGGATGATAAATGGTACCCTCCATGACATGCTACCATTGAGATACTGTGTCCCATAGGTGATAAAGTACCCCGCCATAATGCCAAAAACCACGTAGAGCTGAAGTGAGCAGGCCACCACGCCCCGCACATCTGCAGGGGCTATCTCCACCAGGTACACGGTGGTGACGGAAATGGCTTGGCCCATGCCGACCCCGGTAATCAGGCGGGCGACGATCAGACTAGCGAAATTAGGCGAGCAGGCGGATATTATGGTCCCTGCCAGTGAGAGCAGGCTGCCGATGAGAATTCCGTACTTCCTCGAGATGCGGTCCGAGACATGGCCACTCGCCAGAGAGGATGCGGATGACGAAAGGAGGATACAAGCAACGTAGACACCCTGCTGCGTAGACGATAATCGGCCAATAGAGGATTCGAATTGGGGCATTTGAGTGATCGGACCAATTGAACCTGAAAGTGTGAGTTTCGGGGCCATGGCGTGAGGGAAGTGAACAGACCTGTATCCAGGCCATACAAGAGCCCGGCCAGGGCGACATGGCCAGCAATGAGGAAAACCTTCCCCTTGGGCGAAACCATTGGATGAGACTGGTGTGGTTGAAAGAGAGCGAGACGGAAATAGATGTTTTGACTGAGGAAGAAGACGATTTGAAGCGACTCCTTTTTGCATGGGCTTCATTCACCCCCTCTCTAAGGTAGCATCGCCTAAGTTGCTCTTAGACAACAGAATGGTCGCCGGCGTCGGAGTTGCGAGGACAGTCATTTGCGGTCTGGACTAATACCCCTGTAATTGAGAGTGAGTCTGATAGGATAGGGCAGCAATATATGCATGTTGTGCGCAGCATGATCGAACCCCAACGGTCAGATCAGTGCCTCAGCAAGGTGGGATCACCGTTGGATTTAGATTGCAGCTTCAGCCCGAGACACCAAAGGCGGGGAGTTAGTGCAGCCCAGCCACCAATCATCCCTAGGAATGACTCGAAATGAATCTAAGTTGAGGTTACATTCACTCGCATGCTGCCTCTAGCGCTTATGCCGATCACTGCTCGCCATACGGACCAACCCTGTACACAGTCACACCTATCGCTGGGCACCGAGCCGGTCTCGCGTGTCTTCAGGGCCATGCTTTCTGCGTACATGCGATTTTAGATGCAATTGTCACACGTGGAATAAGCGGGTGCAACCCACGAGCCTCGTAATCCAGCAAGTTGTGTACCCGTTCTGGTAACACGCATCTGACTGACTAGAACTATACCTTCAATAGCAGGTCTTACTCATCTCGGTCAGTAAAGACCACCAAACGCAGGGGTTTATCGACCAATTGCACCGGGATCGCCGCTTCATGTAGGAACGCGAGGAAGACATTGGCGCACCGGGCAGTCCACGATGGTAACTAGCGGCGACCAGGGTACGCAAGCCGAATATGCAATGTTGCATAGTCGAAATGAAGCGCCCTGAACGGGAAACAGTTTTATAGGTCATCCGCATGCGCGAGCTGAGGCCCAGACATAATGTTTACCTCGTATGGACAAGTGTACTGACCGGGATTTGACGCAACACTTGCCGTCGGCTAATTTTTCGCTGACGAAAATCACAGCTAGATGGTCTCGCCAGTGAAGGACCAAGGGGATTCCAGTGTTGACGACGGCGAAATTCGTAATGCCGATGAATGCATGAGGGTCGCCGAACTGAAAACTCCAAGTATTTAAGGGCCTTGGTTCCTTCACTACCGAGCAGTTTGTAGGAACACTTAAAGCAGAGAGAAAAGAGTCTCTGAACGGATTATAGCCATGGATATTAAAAAGTGCGGTCTGGGTGCGAATGGTATGTTTGTCTTTCACTGAAATTCTTATCATTTAGTTGACGTGCCATTCCAGTCCCAACCTTCTATGACCCATCTGACATCGAGTCCATCCGTGCCTCTGTCTTCAATAATGGTATAGCATTTGTGGAGGGGTGTGAGGAAGAGGCCTTGGTAGGTCTTGCTCGCCAACTGGGACAAATCGTGAGACCGCGAAATGAGGAAACACCCGGCAGTGGTGTAAGTCGAATTCGATTTGCATCAGACTTGGTGGGAAAGGGATACAGCTCTGAAGGTTTGACCATAGAACGAGATTATTTTAGCAGGTCGTAGACTGACGTACTGATCACAGAGCTATTCTTCCATACCGATCGCAGCGGATGGGACGAACCCCCGCGCATTTTGATGTCAACTCTCCGCTCCCAATCAGAATCCGGGGGCGAGTCATTGCTGGTTGACGGCCAGAATGTACTCAACGCTCTCAGGCAACATGATGAGGATCTGTACAACCTGTTCACTAATTCAAAGCATACCAGCTTCCGTGCCGATGATGGAACGTTCGTGCCACGGGCCATGGTCGACAGAGAGACGGGAATCTTTCGTTTCCGGTTCGATGACGGCATCCAGATGTCGGCATCTATGGTTGTTGGCTTCGCCAAGCTGCAGGATATCATCTATCAGCATGCCTATCTTGTGTCCCTGCGACCCGGTCAGGGTTATGTGCTAGATAACCACCGGTACCTGCATGGGCGAGCCTCCTTCACTGGTTCACGGGAGTTGTTACGAGTCCTTGTCAGGCCCTCCTCCCCACCTAGTGAGAAGGTAATTTTGTTTGACATTGACGGCACACTCTGTCGGTCAGAGGCACTCAGCATTGATGCATATTATTCCTGTGTGAGTGACATCGTGGGAAAGGACATCAATCATGCAAATACCCCGGTCAACTTGCACGGACGAACCGATCTTGGCCTACTGCATGACATCCTGGATTATCACCAGGTAGCCAGGAAGGATCGGGTAGTAGAGGAATTCCTCAAACTCCACCCACAGTATCTGGAGCGTTCTTTGTCCAAGGGTCTTCCATCGGTGATATGCCCCGGCGCACAGGAATTGCTCAGCTGGTTGATTAGGGAAAATGAGAGCTCCAGGCAATCGAAGTTCCAGTTGGGCCTGATCACTGGCAATTCTCGTCCAAATGCCTTGCTGAAACTCCGTGGGGCGGGAATTGACACCAGTATATTCGACCTTGACATCTCTTCATTTGGGGACAGCCACCATAATCGACTATCATTGTTTCAAGATGCCTTCTCCAAATTGCAGGTCCGCTTTGGCTCTCATATACGCGCAAAAGATGTTCTAGTTGTTGGAGACACGCCCCTCGATGTGGAATGTGCGAAGCAAGCTGGTTGCTCAGTCGTGGCCGTTGCGACAGGGAACTATAAGATGGAGGAGCTGGCTTCGCTGAAGCCTAATGTTTGCTGCGGTCAGCTGACTGAAACGAAGGAGTACCTCCTGCAGGCGGCCTTCTAGATGCTACTGCCATTGAGTTAATGATGTTCTATCAGACGCACGTTATGGAATGGTCACACACTTTGTATCGCAGGTGATCAGAAAAGAATATTGTAGATCAAGGTAGAAAGAAGCCTCATTCGCTCCAATATGAATATGTTTAGGCTGTGATTTCCCCATATGGACCCGACGTAGCAATAGTTGTGGATTCACAGCGTTCTTGGGTGGCCTTGGAGATGCGGATTCCATCTAATTGCGCTCTGATTCCAAGGTCGAGCCAATTATCTCCTGGATTTCTCCGGCCGCAGTACCAGCCAGAACGCCCACTCCAACTATTCCACCATCGCTGGCCTCCCGAAGGAAGACACTCTTCCCTTCACCCTGTGGTCCAGCACTGAGAATCAAGCGGTCAATATGTCGCTGAATTCGGTCCTTGTAGTGAGGGTAGTGCTGGATCACACCACCAGACACGGCCACAACCAGCTCCTCTGGCCCTTTTTGCCAACCGGGTATCACTGCTTTGGAATCTGACACTGTATCATTCTGAGTGCTTATCAATTTGCCTGGTTTGGGATTTTCAATATCCGTTTCTAAATGTGCTGTGCTCTTCAAATTTACCTCGCCAGTGCATGCTAAAAGACCAACCGTCGCTGCAGCAACCAAGGCAGATGATCTCTCTTGGACTGCCGCACCGATTATTCGAATATGTCCAGCGAAGTCGGGGGTCCACATCCAGTCACTCGAGGATGGTGACGGGAGGTGGTTTGACAGTGCCACGGCCAGATGTTCGTTTGAGGAGCTCGAAGCCACCACAAGCGACAGAAATTCTGTAGATAGTGAGTTCCTTTCGACCAATTTCTCTGGCAATGAAGACTTTGGGATCTTCTTGACTCCGTGAAACCAATCATAAGAGATTATGCGGACGAGCTCGCCAATGTAACGGCCACCAACCATATACTCCAGTGGCTGGAAGCCGGGACGGTTGGAATGTTCTTCCAGTTCAGCATCCCACTTGGTTACGATACCGAGCTTCTCCAAAGGCCCGGTTGCTCCGTGGAGGGTCCATTCAGTCGAAACGACGGTTTCATCCGCCTCTGGCTGCTTTTCTCGGATATGGGCCACTTTCAATTCCTGTAGGTCAGCAAGTTTCATGGGAATAGCAGAGTTACAGCCGGCGCCGACGATGAGCCCCATGACAACTCGAGTATTGGGAAGGGCCCTTATCGAGTATGCCAGAGAGGCTAATGTAGCGACCGTATCATTGGTCATGACCGTGACCTTCAACTTCGGTAGACAGTAAGTCTTGCGACGCTTAGTGGGCATGTCATCTGAGTCCTGATCAGACCGCCGGGTGTGACATTCATATCCATCCAGCAAGGCTTGGTGGAGATTCAGGGAAGAGCTCAAGGCGAACCCCTTGCCTGTGGGCATAAGAATGGCCTCATTGAGGAACTTTTGCCTGCGATCAGTTAACCCCATACCACACGAATCAAATAGGCAAGATACGAACTTAGTAGGAAAACAAAAAGAAATCCCCATGATGAGCTCCTTTGGCGGATCGCCTTTAGAGTTGGCAAGATCATCCGCGATGACTTCGGCAATGCAGTCACCAATCCAGGCGAATAAGGACTGGGCTTGGTCACGTCGGAGCCGCTCTTCGATGGGCCACGCCTTCTCCAGGGTTCGTCTTACATGAGGTTGCCTTCCGACTGGCTGATGTCCCAGCAGGTCAATGAAGGCGACCCGGAGATAGGAGAGGCCGAGGTAGACAGCCAGATAGCGACCGGTTTCATGGCCGGTGGGCAGCCGGGTGATGGCGGTGGGGAAGAACTGCTCCGATGAGCTGGCAGCCAGCTCCCGATATGTGTGTGACAGACGATGGGAGAGGTCATAGAGTGTGTCGTGATCTATACGGAGGGGATGCAGGAACTCTTGGAGATCAGGATCCAATTTTCCCATCTTGGCGGATGGTTCCTTGCCCTGGGGAGGTTGCAAGGGTAATCAATTCACTATCTAGTAGTAGTAGTACTAGTAGTAGTAGTTATTAATGGATGGAAGGAACCCAAGGCGGGCGGCGGGGACGAGCCGCCGGTGCGTGGCTCTTGCTCGATTACCCGTGGCTCTTGGCCGCCATTGTCCCACGGGTCTCCATGCAAGGGGCAACTCTTGTGTAAAGGAAGGAAATAAATACTGCGCACATACTTTAAGCTGAGTTTTATGTACTGGAAATAAGTGACAGGGTAGAAATTATTCTTAGAGTCTGGAGAGTGTCTACTCGACACTTTATTCTCATAATTCTCTCACGATCCTGTGATGCTCAACGGATCGCAAATCTTATCAATCATGACATTTTTCTATACTACGGCCAGAGTCGCAAGGACTAGCATCATTTTGTCTACCAGGGGGACCAACTTTGGGGCGCTTTGTGCAGTAGTAGGGTTGACTCTGAGCGGGGTGGTCTTTATGATAGTATCTGGGGCGTTCTACGCGTAGGTACTCTATCTTGATCTGATTTATATGGGTGGAGGTGAAGGCTTCAACTACTACTTATCAGTTAAAACAGGATTATGTCAAATTATATTTAGATTAATAGTTAGTTGATTAGTACTACTGGCTCATATGAGTAATCTGCGGGATGGATGGAAGCCTGAAGGTTTGATCCAAGCCATTTAAGTCCGAGTAAGCACCGGTGCCCCTCAGACCGGAGAATCTGACAGGAAACCCTTTATTTTCCTATTCATGAGAGAAGATAAAAAGGATCAACGCTGAGATCATAGAATATTTTCGAGCTTATCGTCTTTAAATCGGAGGTCCTTCCTTTCAGATTTACCCCAACAACCTACCATCTACTCCCCAGCCCTCACAAGATGACACAAAACAGAGCTGCCTGGATTACAGCTCCTACTGAGCATCCCTTCACTGTCCAAGAGGCCCCATATCCTACACCAGGTCCCGGAGAGATTTTAATCAAGAATGCTGCTATTTCTATCGTGCGATCAATCCCCTGATTTCTTTGATTTCAGCTAATATTCTGTTCTCCTAGAATCCCGCTGACTGGAAAATTCAGTACGAATGAACTTTAACAGCTATCACGCAGCATGTAATCAAGCTAATCATATCTACAGAACATATGGCGCACCTTGGCTGAAAAACTGGCCATTTGTTCTGGGCACAGATGTCGCTGGAGTGGTGGTTGATGTAGGCCCTGATGTGGTCCGCTTCACCAAGGGCCAGCGGGTTGTTGCGTAAGTACCACAGTCGCTTTTTCTTAAAGGTACGATAGACAAGCACGGAGACCTGCTAATAACTGTGCATAGATATTGCCACTGTCTAGGTACCGGCAATCCCGCCAACTCAGGATTCCAGCTATACACCTTGGTCAAAGAAATCACTGTAGCAGGGATCCCAGACACAATCACCTTTGAGGAAGCCTCTGTCCTACCGCAGGCTATCTCGACTGCTGCGGCAGGCCTTTTCCTCAAAGAAAGTCTCGATCTGTCCATCCCCCCTCCTACTGGTGTGAAGCCGACAGGCAAATCGATTCTCATCTGGGGTGGCGCGTCTTCAGTTGGTGCAACAACAATCCAACTCGCAGTAGCAGCAGGTCTAACAGTGATCACAACTGCATCGACCCATAACCATAAGTTGGTAAAGTCTCTTGGTGCAACTGCTGTTTTTGACTACAAGTCTTCTACTGTCGTTGATGATGTCGTCAATGCGCTCACTAATACTGAGTTCATTGGTGTCTACGATGCTGTTTCTAAACCTGCGAGTCTTGAAATGGTGCGTGCGGTACTGGACCAGTTAAAATCAGATGTTAAGACTATTTGTGTTATACCTTATGATCAACCTAAGGAACGGTTTGCGCCTATATTCAGTGAGTCTCCTTGTGACTCCTTGTTGTACCCACTCGTCTCACCCTACACGTGACTAACATTCTTTCCCATTTAGTCAGTTCCAATTTTCTGACTTTTGACTCAAACAAACATGTTGCAGAGGGTATTTGGAGAGACTTTGTCTTCAAAGCCCTAGAAACTGGACGCCTTCAACCGAAGCCGGACCCTGAGGTGGTTGGGAAAGGGCTGGAAAAGGTCCAGGAAGCTGTTGACATCCTCAAGAGGGGCGTATCGGCTAAGAAGATAATTGTCACTCTGTGATCGTTGAGATGCTATCAAGATGCTAGGGAAGTGGTTTGACGCAGCTTGCGTTATACTGTAGACTAAGAGTTATGGACAAGTCGAAGAATATTTTAGTGTTTATCCAGGAATGGATGAGCCAGGAGCACCCTGTCCCCGCTCCTCCGAATAGTTATCGAAGAAATTCTGAATCATCAGTCCACCCGCCGCATCCAGAAATTCGGCGTTAAATGACCCAGGAGCATATCCAGACATGTTATCATCCAGCCCTAATGTATTAGGTTTGAACGTTTGTTGGTCGTTCGTAGGGAACCAGAGGGCCCGGAAAGACCCTGGCAGCTGGCTGGAAGCATAGGGAGCCATGTCGCTGGGAACGGCAATTCCATGACCGTGCTCTACCGCATGTCAGCCACGTTCACCGGTGTGCAAGTACTCAATCTTCTTGAGGAAAGTAGAAAGTGATGGGGTCATACCAAGTATATTTTGGAGCACGTCTCTAGCTCGCAGGGCCATATCATGGGAAGAACCCAGACTCCCCAAACAGTTCACCGCACGTTGTATTTGACATTTCCATGTCTGCGCCAAGCTATGTGCTGGCTCGTAGATATAGCACGTCGCTTGGACAAAGCTGGCCGTTAGCAGCCAGCAGGTCGCATACCAGGTCAGGCCGCGGCGGCGGTTGCTCGTTGACTCAAGAAAGCTGCAGATAGAAGCGACACACTCGTCTGCCGCGGTGAGACAGGCGGCGACTGGACCTGTAGAGGTGGCTAGCTCGGATTTAGCTGCAATGCTTTGGAAGAGAAAGGGGCGGTTGATAACAATGCGCAGGTGGAACGAGCGCCATAGAAGCACTCGACGCGGGATGTCGAAACGCGGTTCCAGAGGAACGCTGAGCCCAAAATGGGGCGGTAGCTCATGGTACCATGTGTGAATACGCTGTTCTAAATCCGCGGCTTTCTGTTGAGTAGGTAAATGATGGGTTAATAGCTCTACCTGAACGACATTGGCAATCTTTGCAAGATTCACTTGCGCTATGAGGCATGACGTGATAGTCGGGCCGGTGCCACATTCAGGAAGTTCATCCATGTCTACTGCTAGATCGTGATCATCAACATTAGCTGGTAGATGAACATTCACACCAACAAGCGAGACGGCTGGTCGGCCAAGGGTCAGCTGAACGCCTGACACGAATATGAACAGTGTCCACCAGACGCGTCGACGGATCTCCATCGTGAAAGGGGAAGTACTAGGCATGCCAAATTCCCGGTGCAAGCCAATGGCCAGTGCCATACTCCAGCCTATACCGATCACAATAAAAGCAGCGTTCGGCTTGTTGCGTTTCTGCATGTAGTTCGCCATGAGAACTATGGCTTGCACATAACTGAGAGATCCTTTCTCGAGGACATCCATTGACAAATGCTTGCGTGCTTCTTTGAAAAATGGTATATCCACTTTGGTGCCTTGCGAATCTCCGACGAAAGCACCAATGGCGAGTACAATATTGTACAAGATGGGCCAAGAACCATCGCGTGGCTTTGCTAGGGCACCTGCTCGTGGTTAGACATTCGCTTATTGATTGTTGTGACAAAGAGCTACCTGAGACCCTAGCACGAAAGGTTCCCTCATGCAAGATGGGATATGCGGGATGATAGATAGCAAAATAGTCATCAAGATAGCGGAGTACATCTGCTCGTCTCTGCTGTGCAGTGCAGATGGTTCCACCATCCATGTCGTCATCAAGGCAAGATAACGGGCTGAAGCTAGTAAGTGGTAAATATAGTGGAAGTGACTGGAGGAATTTGAGGGCCGCTATGCCAGACTGTGGCCCTGTATAGCCGGCCTTGTGCGGGTCGACCGTCAAAAAGCCCATGCCGTCGGTAGAGTTGTCAAAGTCCTGGGACTCGTCGAACTCGTAGTCTTCAGCGTTGCTGGGTTCTGCAAAACTAGCAGGAGGCTGCTCCGTTGCATGAGTGACCTCGCTGAGGTGCTTCTGTCTCTGTGGGCCTTGCTGGATAGCGGTGATAGAGTCGTGTTGAGAGCGAACGGTTTGAAGTGCATCCTGGAGATCAATTGATGGAAGATAGATGGCCCATGCCCGTTCCATGTCAGCTCTCAAGCGCTCTAACTCATGCAGACGTCTATATAAATTAGCATTGATGAAGTAACCAAATTTGAAGCTAGTTGATAGGCCAACCTTTGCAGAGTAGAAAGACGTTGGGATGGTGAGGAGTAACGACATGATTTGGCATCCCGACGACAGTTGTTGCAATTTTCGTTGCCAGAGCAGCGTATCTTGCGTCGCTTGCATTCATCACAAGCAAAGGTCTTCCGAAGAATACGTCGAGACTGAGAGATGTCCATTGCCACGGGTGTAGTTCAAGGGAAGAATGAGAAGTCAATCGTGGCGAACGGAGATTTCCCCGGGCGACGCCAAGACGGCTCCCCGCAGAGTCCGGGGATACCGACATCTACCCCGACAACGTTGTTCAATGCGAATTCGACATGAGTCCTGATTGCGAAGTACACGCGTTGTCTATGAGGCAGTAAGCTCAAGTTTTGCTGTCTATACGACATGCAGAGGAAGCTACGTGGCAAAAGGGCAACGGTTTACCGATCCGACATCCACTCATCGGCACCCGGAAATAGCCCCGATGCGCGACGGCGATAGATCCGTGGCACTGCACGGCTCGGACCCAATGACATATTGCAGATTTCGGACGATCATGCAGGCCATTTAATCAATTAAACCGCTGGCAAGACCCGGCTGCATTCATCTTCAGTACTCGATTCACACACAATCTGAAGAAACCCATCATGTCTCTCGAAGGAAAAGTTGCGATTGTCACTGGCGGAGCGCGCGGAATCGGCGCCGGCATCGTCCGCAGTTTGAGTGAACAGGGCGCAAAGGTAATTAGCAGGAAATACTGCCAATCTGCAAAACATTAATGGTTCTAACACAATCGATGCAGGTGGCATTCAACTACGTCTCCCCATCTTCGCGCGAAGCTGCAAATGCGCTTATCGAATCGCTCCGACAAGACAACCATGAAGCCGTTGCAGTTCAAGCCGACATCACCGACCCAAAGGCCCCGAAGATGATCATACAAGCAGCTCTTGATGCTTTCCAGACAGACCGGGTTGATATCCTTGTGAACAACGCTGGCGCGGGTGACAACCGGCCGCTGGAAGAAGTTACCATGGAAAGCTACATGCACCTGATGGACGTCAACGTGCGAGCGGTGGTCTTCATGACACAGGCTATACTTCCATACATACCCCGCGGCGGTCGAATTATTAATCTGTCATCTATATCTTCCAGGGGCGGTTATGCCACCCAGTCTGTGTATGCAGCCAGTAAAGCAGCAGTGGAGGGTCTCACACGGGTGTGGGCAACAGAACTTGGTCATAAATACGGAGTAACCGTGAATGCGGTCAATCCCGGCCCTGTTGATACAGATATGTATCAGGCAGCTGGAGAAGTGCATTTGAAGCGGATGGAGGAGCAGAACAAGAAGGTCCCGGCTGGGCAGCGATGTGGAACCGTGCAAGATATCGGGGACATTGTGTCATTCTTGGCTGAAGAGAGGTCCCGATGGGTGACGGGAGATGTGATATGCGCTAATGGTGGGATGTTGTATATTTAAAGAGAGGCTTATCTACTTAGGCAGAGAATAAATAGACTTGGCTATTTAATTATGGTTTTGACCGATCTTTTGCCCTAGAGCTACAGGTTAACATCTTCGAGCTCGATACTACGCTTCAGATGTGGTTCTTTAGAACAGAATCAACCCGGCATTACGGCAGCAAGGTCGCCACAACCCCAACATAATCCCGAAACTCATCGCTTGAGTTGCTCGGAATATTCACTGTTCTCCATATTTGGGGAGGGGGGGACAAGTCTCTGACGAAGCCTAGTGGATGCTATCGGGGAACCCCCCCGTCATTTATCACGGCGATAGCTCCGCGAGCCGAGTTCCACAGTCAGGGCTCGTCCCGGTCATCGGCCCCAAATATGAGCTCGTGGAATTTTTGACAGCTGCAGAGAACCATATTTATCCGAATGAGGCCACAACTTGATGTGTAGATTTGGATACAACATTGGTTACCTCTAATAAACTCACTTTCCCAGAGCCCGAATTAGCAAGCATTTGGTCTTGTGCTGCCGGTACTAGATAGTAGTCGTCTGTAGATAGGTCCGCGGACCCGAACCACTAGGAAATAACTGCTACTCAACCCTTTAAACTCAATTATGGCTATATCACGGTGGCTTGCCTCTCGGACAACATTGAACCGGGACTAGGGCAAAGAAACCGGGGGTGCCCATCATAACCCATTGGCATGAATGCCGAATTGACAGCCAATGCGGGGGCTATCTCTGGGGTTCTGGGGTAAAATAAAACGCCTTTCCTTCTTCGTATATGGTGCTGTTCTTTCTTTTCCTCCTCCACATGCTCTAATAAAGGGTTCTTCTTCTCATTTCCTTCACAGTTTGTCTCCCTTTAGTCACAACCTATTCCTATTTTCATGAGTTCTACCCTTCACAGACATGTCGGCTCCCTCAACTGGTTGCTACCCAAAGGTTGCCTCTCAGCAGCCTACGTGTGACGAGATCGAATCCTCATCACGCTCAAAGATCCTCACCGAAGCCGACTGCTACTCAGAACTTGGGTTTTCGTTCCCATCATTTAAGAAGTGGACGATAATCATCGTCATATTCCTCGTGCAGACATCCATGAACTTCAATACCAGTCTATACTCCAATGCCATATCCGGAATCTCCGAAGAGTTCAACGTGAGCAAACAGGCGGCTCGCTGCGGTGCAATGATATTTCTCATCTTATATGCCTTCGGGTGTGAGCTCTGGGCACCCTGGAGTGAAGAAATGGGCCGCAAACCTGTCCTGCAACTGAGCCTGTTCCTGGTCAACATATGGCAATTACCAGTCGGTATCGCTCCTAACTTTGCTACCATCATAGTTGGCCGGGCTCTTGGCGGCACCTGTACAGCCGGCGGCTCCGTGACGTTGGGAATGATAGCAGATCTATGGGAGCCAGATGACCAGCAGTATGCAGTGGCATGTGTAGTGTTTTCGTCTGTTGGTGGATCAGTCCTTGGTCCTGTGGTGGGGGGGTTCGTGGAAGCATACCTCCCGTGGCGATGGAACATCTGGATCCAGCTTATCTTCGGTGGCTTCGTCCAGCTGGCTCATTTGATCCTCGTTCCGGAAACAAGAACATCGGTCATGATTGACAGGATTGCCAAGCAGCGGCGAGAAAAGGGGGAGAATGTGTACGGCCCGACTGAATTGATACCTCTCAAGGACCGCTTTTCTGGGAAGGAAATTATCGGGACCTGGCTTCGACCATTCCACATGCTGCTCACCGAGCCAATTGTGCTGTGTCTCTCCCTGCTAAGTGGCTTTACTGACGCTCTGATCTTCGTATTCATTCAATCCTTCGGGCTCGTATACGCACAATGGAACTTCAGTACCGTTGCTGTTGGCCTCTCCTTCCTTCCCATCATGATAGGCTACGTTATCACCTGGATCATGGTCATCCCAGTGATCAAACGCAACATTCACGAACGTCGCAGCAAGCCCAACGACGAGAGGGCCCAATACGAATCTCGACTCTGGTGGCTTCTTTACACTGCCCCGTGTCTTCCCATTGGACTTATTGGCTTTGCATGGACGAGTCTTCCGCAGACACATTGGATTGGCAGCATGTTCTTTTCAGCTTTGGTCGGAATTGCCAACTTTAGCATTTTCATGGCCACCATCGACTACATGATTTGTGCTTATGGCCCCTACTCCGCGTCTGCTACGGGAGGTAATGGGTGGGCTAGAGACTTTTTGGCTGGTGTGTTGACTGTACCTGCGACGCCCTTTTATGAGAGTATGGCAACCCTCAATCTAGATGTGTTTGTCTGTGTATAGTGTGCTGACGAATCCTTTAGATATTGGTGGAGACTATCATTTGGAATATGCGTCGACAATCCTATGTAAGTAACTTTTGGTCCTGCAGCAGCAAATTACTAATCCAAACTATAGTCTGTATATCCATATTCCTTGTCGCGACGGTATATGTCGTCTACTTCTACGGACCTACCCTTCGCAAACGATCACCATTCGCCCAGAACCTATTGCACGCTAGGACAGACATACACGCAACAATGGAACACAGAAACTAGTGCTAGCAATACACTAGTGTTGGCCAATGGTGTTATTTGGATATGTTGTGAGACATGATACCTGGAGACCTTGCGTTAGGTGGTATGCTACTTCCGAATTGAAGTTCGCGCATGCTAGCCAGGAATTTTAGCAATGTGCCTGATCATAGGATTTGTCCAGTATTATTAAGTCAAGTTACCATCTCTCGTCTACTCTGGTCACTTTGAATGATGCAGTGAAACATAATTGAGTCATGTACGGGGTTTGAAGTGACGTAGCGGAGTGATGTCTGTAAGGGGTATAGAGAATAGGTCCACCGAGTAGGCTTGGTGTCCGTCAAGGAAAGTCATTACTCGCAATTCTTGTCTCATTTCACCTGAATAAGGAAAAGTGGAATAATAAGTATAATACAATCAATAGTCCAGGAGGCTGACATTGAAGATGTAGAAAAATATCGTCGGCGCACTAGAGTCTAAACCACAAACAATATAACGCATCCAGTTAACCGGGCGACGGAGAGATTTGTGTTTCGATATACTAGTATATCCCATTTGAGTTTCCGCTGTCTCCAGTGGTTTTGCAATGGGGTGCTTGCTGCCCTGTCACTCCACGAACACAGCCAATAAGAAACTTAAGAATGCCTTTTTTTCACGCCCTCGCTCTCATCCAAGTTGCATATACTAGCTTCCAGCTCGTCAAGCTCACGGTCTTCCCTTGATCTGTACTCCTCCCGCAGAGACAGAAGTTCGAAGATCCGCTGGCATTTCATAGCCGAATCTTGACTTGGCTGACCGTAATTCTCAAGCAAAATATGCCGCTGTTCCGTAGAGCACATCTGCAATGCCTGGATAATAACCCAGGAGCACTTATTCTCCTGTATATCGGTGCCAATTTTCCCAGTCAGACGGTGGTTACCGAAGATAACTAGATACTCATTCTGAAACTGGTAAAAGCTGCCCAGCGGGACAAGAATATCCCGTGTTTGCTGGATTTATTGGGCGTGTCGAGTTGTAAATACTGCAAGGCAAGAAGAACCGATAGGTAAAAGCTGTAGTATCCCCCCTTCAACTATATTATCATACTCTGCCATGTTCCATTGTTCGGTGCCCCGGTTATCGGAAGCAATGCCGTCGCATTCTTGTCCAATCTCAGTCAAGAAAGCGAATTCGTGAAGAGTCTCCATGGCTTTTAGATATGCTGGGTGTTTTGGGAAGTGTTGCTTGAGGAGAATAGATATAGATGACTTGAGCAGACATCCGTCGTTGACAGCCTTCATCCCGACTGATGTACGTCTATACCAACACAGCTTGCCTCGACGGGTCAATGAGTTATCCATGATGTCGTCAAGAATTAAGATATAGGCTTGGAGCACTTCTACGAGCCATCCAAGTATACTGAGGTCGTGCAACTCCTGTTCCGTTATAGGACGATCTAGGGTCGATAGACCTGTTTGTGGTACAGAGAGAGCGCGAAACATTTTGCCATTTCTTAAGTTCTTGAAAAGCACTATTTTTAAAAGAGATCAATCAACCCTGATAGTCCTTCTTGAAGATGTCCTTTCATGGTCTTACCTTCTCAACATGGTTTATTACTTCACCAGATGCCCCATTCGAACCAAAATGCTCCTTAACATTCCCCACAAGCTCCGCGAGGACAGGGTCAAACTTGCTTCGGTCAACTGTAAAAGCCATCATGCCTGGTCGGTCACTCCCGAGGTGAGGAAAAGCTGTAAAACTCCACAGAGTATGTCTCGTTACTATTCATGGTGAATGAAAGTAGGCTTGATAGCAAACCGTGGTCCAGCATCAATACTCCCTGATAGCGCTGAACATTAGCTTATAAGTTGTAACGTACTCCACAAAATGCAAGGATAGTGCTCTGTCCCGCACCTTCCATGGTCTTGTGTACACTCTTCCAAACCTTGAAGGGCATTAAACTTTCGGCATGCCTTGCCACAACAGGTAATCTGCCTGTTCTTCAACACACTCTTGCATGAGTTCCTATGTGCTTTGATGCAACGGGTAGGAATTTGCCCCAGCAGGAGCAAGGGATTATGCATGCTGCTTTATACAATAGGATATACCCGTAGTCAATGACTTACGCATACCTTGTTTGCAGGACATCGTTAAAGGCAATTCTCCCACCGTCACATTGCAATTGACTTCCAAGTCCTTCATTTATTTCCCAAACATTCTAGCACCCCGTACATATAATTCTTCAACTGACGAAATGTCGAAATCATACCAGGATCTTGGGCTATGGAATTTGCGGAAAGTGGGAGGTTACCAAGTCTCACCCGACCGGCGCATGCGCAAAGACGTGATATATCGCTCGGCAAACTTGGATTCTATTGGGCATTCCGGGGCTCGTATACTTCAGTCACAACTAGGAATCAAAACTATTTTCGATCTGAGAAGCACAGTGGAACACAAAATGCCAAAGGTGCTGCTTGATGGAGCTGTTGTGTCTTTGCCCGCCGTCGCGAACCCCGATCATGAAACCCTCCAGACCTATTTCGAGGGAATTTCTAAATCACCAGCGGAATCAGTCGCTCGCGTATACATCCATACCGTCAATAACTCAGTGAAGTGTTTCAGAGCTATATTCGAGTATATCAGAGATAATCCCTCGTGCCCTGTGCTAGTGCACTGTGAGCTTGGAAAGGACCGGACGGGTGTCTTTATCTCTCTCCTCTTGTTCGTCCTTGGTGTGTGCGAGACGGATATAATCTACGACTACACTTTATCGCAGGACGAGATTCAGGATATTATTCCCGAGAGAAAAGCGAAACTTTTCAAAACTGCTTTCATGGGCGGGATTTCGGTTTCGCAAACTGCTCTTGAAAATCATTTCATGGCCCTCCCGGGCTCTATGAAGCTGTTTCTTTCTTACCTGAGAGAGACGTATCATGAGGGTCGGGGTTATCTGTCGTCGCTTGGATTTAGTCATGTTGATTATGACACGATCTACAGCAATCTGACGGAGAATCTCTAACCTCATTTTGTATATCGCGGAAATGACTCTGAATAGATACATTTCTTAGTTTTAGCCTCCGTTCCCTACGTCCTTTCGTCACTTCCCTTCTCTACCTCAATCGACCTGGAACCACACTAAGCACAGTCCGTTACGCATTAAGATTCTCCAAGTCTAGTTCACTATCTTAAGATCATGCTATCCGCATATGGCTATCAATTGATGGTCCATATATAACACTCTTGATCCCTCTCCGTGCCACAACATTCTTGAACGCCTCTTCCGCCTTCTCAAAGTCAAACTCATGCGTCACCAAGCCATCAACCCGGACGCGCCCAGAACTTAGCAGTCCAATAGCCAACTTATAGTCGCCCGGCCCATACCGAAAACTCCCCTTGAAGGCGATCTCCTTATCGCAGACCATTCCAACCGGGAAGGCCACAGTAGGCTTTCCTAGTCCAACCTGCACAAAGGTACCTCCAGATGCAAGGACACCGATCCCGCATGCCAGACAGGCTTCTGCCCCTGAGGCATCTAGTACAACATCAACACCCTCGTGTAATCCCGTGAGAGCACGAATCTGCGCTTCATTACTACCATCTCCCTCAGCCTGGGCTGTCTGCATACGATAAGTATGCGTTGCGCCATAACGACGCGCACATTCTAGTCTCTCCTCCACAACATCAACAGCTACCACCGTACTAGCTCCAAACGCAGCAGCCACGGCACAGCAAAGTAATCCGACCGGTCCAGCACCAAATACCACCACACTGCGATTTTGCATATCGCCTCCCAAACGACAGGCATGTACTGCGACACTCAAGGGTTCGACCAGCGCACCATCACGAAAGGAGACAGTGTCAGGTAGTTTATAGCAGCATTGAGCGGGAACCCGATAATAGGTGCACAGGGTCCCGTTGACGGGGGGTGTGGCAGCAAACTGCATGGACGTGCAGAGATTGTATCTGCCACTGCGACAGTACGAGCAGACGTTGCAGGAGATTCCAGGCTCCAAGGCTACACGGTCGTTGACTTTCAGTCTATCGACATTGCTGCCGGTGGCCACGATCACGCCGGAGGACTCGTGGCCGAGAACAAGGGGCTGGGTGACTTCGTATCGACCGAGCTTTCCATGCTGCCAGTAATGGATCTGCGTGAAGACGGTGTCAGAAGATTATATCTATCATAGATGAAAATAAACATTCACGTACATCTGAACCACAGAGACCGGTGGCTACCACGCGGACAAGAACATCCCGATCGGATTCTATAGTCGGAATCTCGCGTTCAGAGTAGGTGAAAGTGCCTCCCGGGTGCAGAACCAACGCACGGTTTGCCGATAGCTGCGGTGTCGGCATGTTGGTATCCTTGATTGTGATTAATCGGAGGGATATCTGGTCTATGCATCCATCCACTGCTTGGGTCTAATCTTATAGTTCAAACATCGTCTCACGTTGCATACAGCTTGAGCGGTGATTGGCCCGGCGCTATCGCCGAACGAATCAACGGTGCCACAGGCTGGAAATATCCCCGAGAGCCCTTCCCCACCACTACCCCACACTTGTCCAGTTGTCCATTGATTCCCCCGCGTCTCGGGGGTATCGCCTTCCAATTCTTGAAGTATGGCAAGAATGAAGCCCAAGTGAGTGAGAAAATTACATAAGTATGGCACTTCCCCATTTCTTTCAAGGGTAAAAATCCCCCTTACAACGTTGCGCACATCTAACACAATGGAGATTCTTCAACAAAAACCTACCAACTACGCCATCCACACCAGCCCAGCCAACGACCTGCGGCTAGTGGAATGCGAAATCCCCAAGATCGCACCAACCGAGTGCCTAGTGCACGTTCGCGCGACCGGAATCTGTGGCTCTGATGTGCACTTCTGGAAACATGGCCATATCGGGCCCATGATCGTGACGGGCGACAACGGACTAGGGCACGAGAGTGCCGGCGTGGTACTACATGTCGGCGAGGCCGTTACACGCTTCAAGCCTGGTAAATTCCTCCCCACCTACCTACCTACATACGACCACCCACTAACCATTCCAACCTCCAGGTGACCGCGTCGCCCTCGAATGCGGAGTCCCCTGCTCCAAACCCACCTGCGACTTCTGCCGAACAGGCCTCTACCACGCCTGTCCGGACGTGGTCTTCTTCTCCACACCCCCGCACCATGGTACTCTGCGCAGATACCACGCCCACCCTGAGGCCTGGCTCCACAAGATCCCCGACCACGTTTCCTTCGAAGAGGGTTCCCTTCTCGAGCCACTGACCGTCGCGCTGGCGGGTATTGATCGCTCTGGATTACGACTCGCTGATCCACTCGTTATCTGCGGCGCTGGACCCATCGGTCTGGTCACTCTACTCGCTGCCAACGCCGCTGGCGCTGAGCCCATCGTCATCACTGACCTTGATGAGAACCGTCTTGCGAAAGCAAAGGAGCTGGTTCCCCGCGTCCGACCGATCAAGGTAGAGAGGGGCGAGAGCTCGGCGGATCTTGGTCAACGGATTATATCTGAGCTGGGACAGGAAGCGAAGCTTGTGATGGAGTGTACGGGTGTGGAGAGTAGTGTGCATGCTGGTATATATGTATGTCCTCCCGTCCTCTATTTAAGGAAAACAGCGTATCGATGAAGGTTGATAACTGACTGATTTGATACAGGCAACCCGCTTCGGAGGCACCGTGTTCGTGATCGGAGTCGGAAAAGACTTCCAGAACATCCCGTTCATGCACATGTCGGCGAAAGAAATCAACCTCAAGTTCCAGTACAGGTATCATGATATCTACCCCAAGTCGATCGCTCTGGTCGCTGCGGGTATGATTGATCTCAAGCCGTTGGTGTCACATCGGTATAAGTTGGAGGAAGGATTGCAGGCGTTTGATACGGCTAGTAACCCTCGTTCGGGGGCGATTAAGGTGCAGATTTTGGATGATTGAATATAGATGTAGTGAAAGATAAATAATTTCAAATGTGTTTACTTGATGTAACGAGCCGAGAACATAGTTCGATCAAAGGATCCTTGGTGATAGGCTCACTACGGCTCATTAAGTTGATTAAAGGTAATCATATCTCTAATCAAAGTATCTCCAAGTTACCTTGTTATGTGCATCCGTCCGCAAAATTCAGCAGAATCACACATACCACCCATCACCGTAGACTGAACTCTGATGTCCGATTTCTAGAACTAAGCCTTCGCCTTCAACACCCTCTGCTCCTCCGCCCAAGCAAGAGCACTCGTCCTCACACTCTCCTCACCCACCTCCGAGAAGATATCCACTCCAATTCTGGCCGGGAAATTCATTCTCTGGTGGCGCTCCAGTGACTGGATAGTCGAGATTGCGTCGTCGGGGAGGATGAAATCTGTGCATATCAGCATATAGGAAAGTTTTGGAGATGAGAGCAAACAGGGGGATCACCTTGAAAGTTACTCTCGATTCTCTCGGGGGTCACGGATTTAGGAAGCACGACTGTTCCGCGCTGCACGGCCCAGCTGATTAGGACTTGTGCGGGGGTTTTGTTTAGTTTCTTGGCTGTTTCGATGACGAGGGGGTCGTCGACGGCACTGGATTATCTGTTAGTCAATTTTGGTATGTGAAGATAGAAGATGGGGGTGCATACCGGGGAATGTTGTAGATGTTGTTGCCTAGCGGTGAGTAGCCTGCTATCACGATGTCCTGTACATTGTCAACTTAGGATGATAGTCATGGTGTCAA